GAATCCCGCCGGGCCCGCCCTGTCCCCCCCTGCGGCCTCCCGTCGTTTCGCCTATCGCAGCAGCAGCTGCGTGCGAAGCCCTGCGCTCTTACTTTCAAGGCGCGTGCAATGAAGTCGGCGGTCATCCGCCGACCCCGACATGGCCGGCGAGGGTTGGGGGGGGGGGGGGGAGGGGGGGTTTGTTTGAGAGCCGGCTTCCGTCGCAAATTGCCGGCCCTTCTTCTCTCCCCCTTGGACCCGACGTTCAGGGTGGGCGGAGGTGCCGTGGGTTCGAATCCCGACCACCCCCCCGTTGCCCCGCCGCTCCCTATTTGTGACCCTGCGATGTCTCTCTCTCTCTCTCTCGCTCTCTCCACCCCGTCTCTACCCCGTCTCTACCCGTGGCCCGCGTGGATTTTTCTCCGGGGGTCCTCCTGCTGCGACGCATCTCCACGTTGCTGGGCGACGTGTTGTGCCACTGCCACTCGCGATAGCCGGGTCAGGGATTCTGGAAAGAGGTGGAGGCCACCCCCCCCCCCCCCACACAGCCTAATGATGGGGCCTTAGGCCTGGCGAAAATTTAAGAGGGAAAAAAAAATCGTTTTAGTTCGAGTCTCGATGAGTGGGTCTTTTGGGGGTCTCTGTGGGTCTCGTCCGTGGGTCGATGTGGAATCTCTGGGTGTCCCCCGAGTCTTGTCGAATCAACGTCCGTTCAGCGCGAGTTTGGCTGACGCCGTGACTTTTCCACGTGGCGGCGACGATGGGCCCCCTCGGTTTGAGCCGCCCCGTCGTTTGTGGATGGGGCAAGTCGCCCCAATCAGCAGCAGCAGCAGCAGCTCATTAAGACCTTAAGGGCCATCCAGTTAGTGAGTACGCAAAAATCTGTCCAAAACTTGACCACTCCGTACCCTCCTGGTACGCACGTGCACTTTTTACACCCCCCAATCGATCAAGGATTAATAATAGGAGCGTATATTCTTGGTTCTTTGGGTAAAGTCACCACCACGTAGAAGGGAAACAATAAAATAAAAAAAATATAAAACGATAAAATTGTTGTAAAACAGTAAAATTATTATTCTTGGTTCTTTGGGTAAAGTCACCACCACGTAGAAGGGAAACAATAAAATAATCAAAATATAAAACAATAAAATTATTATTCTTGGTTCTTTGGGTAAGTCACCACCACGTAGAAGGGAAACAATAAAATAATAAAAATATAAAACAATAAAATTATTGTAAAACAATAAAATTATTATTCTTGGTTCTTTGGGTAAAGTCACCACCACGTAGAAGGGAAACAATAAAATAATAAAAATATATAAAACAATACAATTATTGTAAAACAATAAAATTATTATTCTTGGTTCTTTGGGTCAAGTCACCACCACGTAGAAGGGAAACAAAAAAATAATAAAAATATAAAACAATAAAATTATTATTCTTGGTTCTTTGGGTAAAGTCACCACCACGTAGAAGGGAAACAGTACAATAATAAAAATATAAAACAATACAAAATTATCACGACGTTTCGACTGCAACACAAGCAGCAATCATCATCAGGTGTGAAAACCACAGCAAGAAAATTTGAAAAAAGTGGCGGTTGTTTTAAAACGTTAGCACCACGGAGAGCGATTTGACAGTTTGTTCAGACGGACGAGTCCATTTAACACGTTAGACTTTCGCGACCAATATTATTCATGATAAAGGTTTTTGGGTTAGAGATCGCATTATTTATAAATGTGTCGTAACCCTCCACCACCCGACACGGCCAAATCGGCAAAAAAAAGTGTCACGTTGACAAAGGGCAAATAGTTCACTACGTTAGCCCACCGGTGTGTTGAAGAGTGAATCCACAACTTTCGATTTAAAGCTTTCGTGACTGCAAGGATTCATCTTCTTTGGTTCTTTCGGTAAAGTCACCACCACGTAGAATGAGAATGAAATAATAAATTGATAAAATAAAGTAACACAATAAAATTCTCACGACGTTTCGGCCACAACACAAGCGGCCTTCACCGGGTGAAGGGACGAGACTGTCTGGTAGGACAGCGCCCGGAGCGAAAAAGCCAAGCGCAGCTTAAAGGTCGCGATCTGAGCTTGTGGCTTTGTTTGCTCCAGCGCTGTCCTCCAGACAGTCTCGTCCCCTTCACCTGATGAAGGCCGCTTGTGTTGTGGCCGAAACGTCGTGTTAGAATATTATCGTGTTATTTTATTTTATCAATTTGTTATTTTATTCTCATTCTACGTGGTGGTGACTTTACCGAAAGAACCACAGAAGATGAATCCACAACATTTACAGTTTGAGTACGACGTTTCGCTGGTAATTACATCCAGCATCATCGGGCAATTCGCCAGAATGGTGAACCATTCTGTGAACCATTCTGGCGAATTGCCCGATGATGCTGGATGTAATTACCATCGAAACGTAACAGTACTGGAGCTGTAAATGTTGTGGATTCACTCTTCAACACACCGGTGGGCTAAAGTAGTGAACTATTTTGTCTTCTGTCAACGTGACACTTTTTTTGCTGATTGGCCGTGTCGGGTGGTGGAGGGTTACGACACATTTATAAATAACGCGATCTAAACCCAAAAAACCTTTATTATGGACGACTCCATCTATGTTCGGAAAAGAGGAGGGGGGAGACGAAAATAATGGATGCGGTCTGAAAGCCACCTTAAGCGTGAACAATCAATTAAGACCCGAAATGGTTTATCAAATCCTTCCAATGATTGCTAAGCCAGAATCCATCTTCTCGGTTGAAATTGTCTCTGTGCTTGTATGTGTGGATAGCCTCGTGAACGAATCTCTCATGGTAGCCGGATGGCTTGCAGCGAACCTCTGTCTTGGAGAAGTCAATGTCATGTGAGCCTACTGAATTATAACAGTGATCCGCCACGGCCGAGGTGTTGGTCCTACCGTGTTTTAGGTCTGCTTTGTGTTCACGGATGCGGTCCGAGACATGTCATTTGGTTTCCCCAATGTAACTACTACCACAGAGGCAACTTAGTTTGTATGTCCAGAATCGCATCTTTTTTACAGACGGAACCAGATCACGGATTTTATGTGATGTGTTGAATCGGACCTGGATCTTGTGTTCATTCAAGATTTTGGAGATCTTTTTTGTGATCCCCGCAATGTAGGGTAAAGTGATGGTTTTGAATGGTCCTTGGCAGATCACTTGGTAGAGCTGCTACACAGCAGCAGCAACTCAGTGGGACCTTCTTACTCCTGGTAACTTGCAACTAGTTTAGTTTTAGTGTGGGTCTCTGACTATGGGTCTCTTATGAGTATGGGTCTGTATGGGTTTCTGTGGGTCTGTATGGGTCTTTGTGGGTCTCTATGAGGATGGGTCTCTGTGGGTCAGTATGGGTCGTTGTGGGTCTCTGAGTATGGGTCTATGTGGGTCTGTATGGGTCTCTGAGTGGGTCTGTATGAGTGTAGGTCTCTGTGGGTCTTTGTGGGTCTCTGAGTATGGGTCTATGTGGGACTGTATGGGTCTCTGTTAGTGGGTCTCTATGAGTATAGGTCTCTGTGGGTCTGTATGGGTCTCTATGAGTGGGTCTCTATGAGTATATGTCTATATGGGTCTGTATGGGTCTCTGTGAGTGGGTCTCTGAGTATAGGTCTCTGTGGGTCTCTATGAGTATAGGTCTCTGTGGGTCTCTGGATCTTTGTGGGTCTCTGAGTATGGGTCTATATGGGTCTGTATGGATCTTTGTGGGTCTCTGAGTATGGGTCTATGTGGGTCTGTATGGGTCTCTGTGAGTGTGTCTCTTTGAGTATAGGTCTCTGTGGGTCTGTATGGGTCTCTGTGGATCTCTGAGTATGGGTCTATGTGGGTCTCTGTGGGTCTCTATGAGTATAGGTCTCTGTGGGTCTGTATGGATTTCTGTGGATCTCTGAGTATGGGTCTATGTGGGTCTATGTGGGTCTCTGTGAGTGGGTCTCTGAGTATAGGTCTCTGTAGGTCTGTATGGGTCTTTGTGGGTCGCTGAGTATAGGTCTCTGTGGGTTTGTATGGGTCTCTGTGAGTGGGTCTCTATGAGTATAGGTCTGTGGGTCTCTGAGTATGGGTCTATATGGGTCTCTGTGAGTGGGTCTCTATGAGTATAGGTCTCTGTGGGTCTGTATGGGTCTCTGTGGGTCTCTGAGTATGGGTCTATATGGGTCTCTATGAGTATAGGTCTCTGTGGGTCTGTATGGGTCTTTGTGGGTCTCTGAGTATGGGTCTATATGGGTCTCTATGAGTGTAGGTCTCTATGAGTGTAGGTCTCTGTGGGTCTGTATGGTTCTTTGTGGGTCTCTGAGTATGGGTCTCTGTGGGTTTGTATGGGTCTCTGTGAGTGGGTCTCTATGAGTATAGGTCTCTGTGGGTCTGTATGGGTCTCTGTGGGTCTCTGAGTATGTGGGTTTGTATGGGTCTCTGTGAGTGGGTCTCTATGAGTATAGGTCTCTGTGGGTCTCTGAGTATGGGTCTATGTGGTTTTGTATGGGTCTCTGTGAGTGGGTCTCTATGAGTATAGGTCTCTGTGGGTCTGTATGGGTCTTTGTGGGTCTCTTGAGTGTGGGTCTCTGTGGGTCTCGATGAGTGGTTCTCTGTGCGTCTCTATGAGTATGGGTCTCTGTGCGTCTCTATGAGTGGGTCCGTAGGAAACATGTAGTCAGAATATTTGGCTGCTCCTATAAAATGTCCACATGGTGGTGATGATGATGATGAGGATGATATCAGCCCACTGGCTTGAGCTGCTCGCATTCGCGATGTGCAGGTCGCTTCTGACAAACTAGCTACCTACGCAGCAGCAGCAGCAGCAGCAGCAGCTCTACACCCAGGTAAAATAAATAAAAAATATATCGTAAAACTAAGCGAGCGTGACGTTCCGAGTCGTCGCTAGAGTTCCTCCCCGCCCAGCGAAATACTTGAGCGAGGACTTTTGCGTGCTGTTGAACCTCGCAGTGAACCACCTCTCTGACCCTGTGACCCAACCCCCCCCCCCTCCCCGTTCCCTATGTCCAACAGCAGTGCCAGCAGCAGCAGCAGCAGCGGCAGCGATGGAGGGCAATTGGAACGGGGGCTACATGTACCAGGTGCGTATCTTTACGATTATTTTTTTATTATTATTGTTGTGGTGGTGGTAGTGATTGTGTGGAGGAGGCTCGTGAAGGACGCCGCCGCCGCTGCTGCCGGGCAGTAGGGGGCAGTCGTCCTCCAGCAGCAACAGCAACAACAACAACGGAGGGCAGAGGAGCGACGCTCACAACAGCGAGCGGAGCGCCGGGCGGCTAAAGTAGAGCGAGTCGGCGCAGTTGCGGGGCGCAGCCGGTGTGCATCTACCGGTCATCTTAGTCAGCCAAGCCACGGCACCTGGTTCTATCCCGAGACCTCCTCCTGTCAGCGAGCCTTCAACACTTCCTCGTGGCCTCAAAGTGCACCCGGCCCGGCCTGGCGCAGCCGCCGTGGCGACGTCACCGTCACGTAGTGGCGAATGGCGCGGGTGTTGGCATTGGGCGAGTGGTCGGGTGTGCAGCCCCGTGGCCTGTTGTCGGGCGAATGAGTGCGTGGCTGATTGTGTGGACGAGTTGGTTGAGTGTGTAGCCCCGTGGCCTGTGATCGGGCGAATGAGTGCGTGGCTGATTGTGTGGATGAGTTGGTTGAGTGTGCAGCCCCGTGGCCTGTTGTCGGGCGAATGAGTGCGTGGCTGATTGTGTGGATGAGTTGGTTGAGTGTGTAGCCCCGTGGCCTGTGATCGGGTGAATGAGTGCGTGGGTGATTGTGTGGATGAGTTGGTTGAGTGTGTAGCCCCGTGGCCTGTGGTCGGGCGAATGAGTGCGTGGCTGATTGTGTGGATGAGTTGGTTGAGTGTGTAGCCCCGTGGCCTGTGATCGGGTGAATGAGTGCGTGGCTGATTGTGTGGATGAGTTGGTTGAGTGTGCAGCCCCGTGGCCTGTGATCGGGTGAATGAGTGCGTGGGTGATTGTGTGGATGAGTTGGTTGAGTGTGTAGCCCCGTGGCCTGTGGTCGGGCGAATGAGTGCGTGGGTGATTGTGTGGATGAGTTGGTTGAGTGTGTAGCCCCGTGGCCTGTGGTCGGGCGAATGAGTGCGTGGGTGATTGTGTGGATGAGTTGGTTGAGTGTGCAGCCCCGTGGCCTGTGATCGGGCGAATGAGTGCGTGGGTGATTGTGTGGACGAGTTGGTTGAGTGTGTAGCCCCGTGGCCTGTGATCGGGCGAATGAGTGCGTGGCTGATTGTGTGGATGAGTTGGTTGAGTGTGCAGCCCCGTGGCCTGTGGTTGGGCGAATGAGTGCGTGGGTGATTGTGTGGATGAGTTGGTTGAGTGTGCAGCCCCGTGGCCTGTGATCGGGCGAATGAGTGCGTGGCTGATTGTGTGGATGAGTTGGTTGAGTGTGCAGCCCCGTGGCCTGTGGTTGGGCGAATGAGTGCGTGGCTGATTGTGTGGATGAGTTGGTTGAGTGTGCAGCCCCGTGGTCTGTGATCGGGCGAATGAGTGCGTGGGTGATTGTGTGGATGAGTTGGTTGAGTGTGTAGTCGTGGCCTGTGATGGGGTGAATGAGTGCGTGGCTGATTGTGTGGATGAGTTGGTTGAGTGTGTAGCCCCGTGGCCTGTGATCAGGTGAATGAGTGCGTGGGTGATTGTGTGGATGAGTTGGTTGAGTGTGCAGTCGTGGCCTGCGGTCGGGCGAATGAGTGCGTGGCTGATTGTGTGGATGAGTTGGTTGAGTGTGTAGTCGTGTCCTGTGGTCGGGCGAATGAGTGCGTGGGTGATTGTGTGGATGAGTTGGTTGAGTGTGTAGTCGTGGCCTGTGATCGGGCGAATGAGTGCGTGGGTGATTGTGTGGATGAGTTGGTTGAGTGTGTAGTCGTGGCCTGCGGTCGGGCGAATGAGTGCGTGGCTGATTGTGTGGATGAGTTGGTTGAGTGTGTAGTCGTGGCCTGTGATCGGGTGAATGAGTGCGTGGCTGATTGTGTGGATGAGTTGGTTGAGTGTGTAGCCGTGGCCTGTGGTCGGGCGAATGAGTGCGTGGCTGATTGTGTGGATGAGTTGGTTGAGTGTGTAGTCGTGGCCTGCGGTCGGGCGAATGAGTGCGTGGCTGATTGTGTGGATGAGTTGGTTGAGTGTGTAGTCGTGGCCTGTGATCGGGCGAATGAGTCCGTGGGTGATTGTGTGGATGAGTTGGTTGAGTGTGCAGCCGTGGCCTGTGATCGGGCGAATGAGTGCGTGGGTGATTGTGTGGATGAGTTGGTTGAGTGTGTAGCCCCGTGGCCTGCGGTCGGGCGAATGAGTGCGTGGGTGATTGTGTGGATGAGTTGGTTGAGTGTGCAGGCGTGGCCTGTGGTCGGGCGAATGAGTGCGTGGCTGATTGTGTGGATGAGTTGGTTGAGTGTGCAGCCCCGTGGCCTGTGATCGGGCGAATGAGTGCGTGGCTGATTGTGTGGATGAGTTGGTTGAGTGTGCAGCCCCGTGGCCTGCGGTCGGGCGAATGAGTGCGTGGCTGATTGTGTGGATGAGTTGGTTGAGTGTGCAGCCCCATGGCCTGTGGTCGGGCGAATGAGTGCGTGGCTGATTGTGTGGACGAGTGGTTGAGTGTGTAGTCGTGGCCTGTGGTCGGGCGAATGAGTGCGTGGCTGATTGTGTGGATGAGTTGGTTGAGTGTGTAGTCGTGGCCTGTGGTCGGGCGAATGAGTGCGTGGCTGATTGTGTGGATGAGTTGGTTGAGTGTGTAGTCGTGGCCTGTGATCGGGCGAATGAGTGCGTGGGTGATTGTGTGGATGAGTTGGTTGAGTGTGCAGCCCCGTGGCCTGCGGTCGGGCGAATGAGTGCGTGGCTGATTGTGTGGACGAGTGGCCGGGTGTGTTGTGAGTTGCAGCGCGGTGAACGAGTGTATGAATAAGTGTGTGTGTGTATGGGGCCGGTGGTTGACTGACGGGAGTTGAGTGACTTTTAGAGGCTTGCGACTCCCCAATTTGCAAGGTTGGCCACGGACGGTGGGAAAGAAGTTCCACACACACGCACACACATTTGCGAAGCCTCGTATGCCATCGGTTGCCCTCACGACTCCGTGGCAGCGAGCGGAGCGCCGGGCGGATGAAATGCAGCAAGTTGTCGCACAGCTGGGGTACAGCTGCTGGTGCATCTTTACCAGTCTCGTCCAGCCAAACCCCCATGGCACCTGCTGGGTCCGTCCCGTGACCTCGAGCCAGCGAGCCCTTGGACATTTCACGTTGCCTCGGAGTGCACCGGGCCTGGCACAGCCGCCGTGGTGACGTCACCGTCACTCGGTGGCGAATGGCGGGTGTTGTTATCGGTGTGTGTGTGTGCGTGCATACACACACACACACAGGGGAGCGGTAGTGTAGTACCTTCTTTGGTTCTTTCGGTAAAGCCACCACCACGTAGAATGAGAATAAAATAATACATCGATAAAATAAAATAACACATTAATGTTCTCACGACGTTTCGGGCCACAACACAAGCGGCCTTCATCAGGCGAAGGGGCGAGACTGTCTGGAGGACAGCAAAGGTAGTTAGTGCTACGCTGTGCTATGAACCCGGCTATCCGAGTTGGATTCCCGCTCACGGCCAACACCAGTGACGATTGCCTGAACCGGTCCCGGGCCTCCCCTAGGTCGACCCAGCCTCAAAACGAGTACCTGGTGCGGTAGTGTAGTAAACATCGCCACTGGGGAGACAAAGACGGCCGGGCGTGGTGCTGGCCACCCACCCCCTCGTGTGCCGTTACCGGCCTTCATAGGTGCCGCTCGCTAACAGCACTTGCCCCTACAGTCTGTTAAGGCTATACGGGACATCTTTGTCTTTTTTTGTATTTCTTCTGTAACACCACCGTATGTAGCCTAACCGTGCTCATCGGAGATGCGTGAGGGGGAAGGACAGCAAACCAAACACAACAACAAGCAAACTAAAGATAATCACTTTCAATCTAAAATCTATGCCAGTCTATGGGTCTCTGGGTGATCAGTCTATGGGTCTGTGTTTGGCGCGTCTATGGGTCTCTGCGTGGTGAGTCTATGGGTCTCTATGCCAGTCTATGGGTCTCTGCGTGGTGAGTCTATGGGTCTCTATGCCAGTTTATGGGTCTCTATGCCAGTCTGTGGGTCTCTGTGGGGTGCGTCTATGGGTCTCTGTGGTGCGTCTATGGGTCTGTGTGGTGAGTCTATGGGTCTCTGTGTGGTGAGTCTATGGGTCTCTGTGTGGTGAGTCTATGGGTTTCTGTGTGGTGAGTCTGGCTCTTTGTGTGGTGCGTCTATGGGTCCTCTGTGTAATGATGCTATGGGTCTCTGATGACGCTATGGGTCTCTGTGTGATGGCTCTTTGTGTGGTGATTCTATAAGTCTATGGGTTTCTATGCCAGTCTATGGGTCTCTGTGTGATGAGTCTATGGGTCCTCTGTGTGATGACGCTATGGGTCTCTGTGTGATGACGCTATGGGTCTCTGTGTGGTCTGTCTATGGGTCTGTGTGGTGAGTCTATGGGTTTCTGTGTGATAAGTCTGGCTCTTTGTGTGATGATTATATAAGTCTATGAGTTTCTGTGCCAGTCTATGGGTCTCTGTGTGGTACGTCTATGGGTCTGTGTGGTGAGTGGGTTTCTGTGTGGTGAGTCTGGCTCTCTCTTGTGATGGGTCTATGGGTCTGTGGTGAGTCTATGGCTCTCTGTGTGGTGCGTCTATGGGTCTATTTGTGGTGAGTCTGTGGGTCTCTGTGTGGTGCGTCTATGGCTCTCTGTGTGGTGCGTCTATGGGTCTCTGTGTGCTGAGTCTATGGGTCTCTGTGTGGTGAGTCTATGGGTCTCTGTGTGGTGAGTCTATGGGTCTCTGTGTGGTGAGTCTATGGCTCTCTGTGTGGTGAGTCTATGGGTCTCTCTCTCGTGATGGGGGCCTACGGCTCTCTCTGTGTGGTGCGTCTATGGCTCTCTGTGTGGTGCGTCTATGGGTCTCTGTGTGCTGAGTCTATGGGTCTCTGTGTGATGCGTCTATGGGTCTCTGTGTGATGAGTCTATGGGTGTCTGTGTGAGTCTACGGGTCTCTGTGTGGTGCGTCTATGGGTCTCTGTGTGATGAGTCTGTGGGTCTCTGTGTGATGAGTCTACGGGTCTCTGTGTGGTGAGTCTATGGGTCTCTGTGTGATGAGTCTACGGGTCTCTGTGTGGTGAGCCTATGGGTCTCTGTGTGGTGAGTCTATGGGTCTCTGTGTGGTGAGTCTATGGCTCTCTGTGTGGTGAGTCTATGGGTCTCTGTGTGGTGAGTCTATGGGTCTCTGTGTGGTGAGTCTATGGGTCTCTGTGTGGTGCGTCTATGGGTCTCTGTGTGGTGAGTCTATGGGTGTCTGTATGGTGAGTCTGGCTGTCTCGTGATGGGTCTATGGGTCTCTGTGTGGTGAGTCTATGGGTCTCTGTGTGGTGAGTCTATGGGTCTCTGTGTGGTGAGTCTGTGGGTCTCTGTGTGATGAGTCTATGGGTGTCTATGTGGTGAGTCTATGGGTGTCTATGTGGTGAGTCTATGGGTCTCTGTGTGGTGAGTCTATGGGTCTGTGTGGTGCGTCTATGGGTCTCTGTGTGGTGAGTCTATGGGTCTCTGTGTGGTGAGTCTGTGGTCTCTGTGTGGTGAGTCTATGGGTCTGTGTGGTGAGTCTATGGGTCTCTGTATGGTGAGTCTATGGGTCTGTGTGGTGAGTCTATGGGTCTCTGTATGGTGAGTCTATGGGTCTGTGTGGTGAGTCTATGGGTCTCTGTATGGTGAGTCTATGGGTCTGTGTGGTGAGTCTATGGGTCTGTGTGGTGAGTCTATGGGTCTCTGTGGTGAGTCTATGGGTCTGTGTGGTGAGTCTATGGGTCTCTGTGTGGTGAGTCTATGGGTCTCTGTGTGGTGAGTCTATGGGTCTCTGTGTGGTGCGTCTATGGCTCTCTGTGTGGTGCGTCTATGGGTCTCTGTGTGCTGAGTCTATGGGTCTCTGTGTGGTGCGTCTATGGGTCTCTGTGTGATGAGTCTGTGGGTCTCTGTGTGGTGAGTCTGTGGGTCTCTGTGTGGTGAGTCTGTGGGTGTCTGTGTGAGTCTATGGGTCTGTGTGGTGAGTCTGTGGGTCTCTGTTTTAAAGAGTCGACTTTTCCAATCAAGATGATTTTCAAGTGCATGGGCTCCCAGTGGCTTCCTTCCGATATCCCCCCTCTCCCTCTCCACCCTCCCTCCCCCCTCACCGATCTCGCTCTCACTGCACACGAATCGTGTCTCTTCTCATCCACTCCCTCCCCCCCCTCCCTCCCCCCTCCCTCCCCCCCTCACCTCACCTCCCTCCCCTCCCTCCCCTCCCTCCTCCACCTCCCTCTCAACCTCCCTCTCACCTCACCTCCCTCTCACCTCCCTCCCTCACCTCCCTCTCACCTCCCTCACCTCCCTCTCACCTCCCTCCCCCTCACCTCCCTCCCCCTCACCTCCCTCACCTCACCTCCCTCTCACCTCCCTCACCTCCCTCACCTCACCTCCCTCTCACCTCCCTCCCTCACCTCCCTCTCACCTCCCTCACCTCCCTCACCTCACCTCCCCTCCCCTCCCCTCACCTCCCTCCCTCACCTCCCTCACCTCCCTCTCACCTCCCTCACCTCAACTCCCTCCCTCCCCTCCCCCTCACCTCCCTCTCACCTCCCTCCCCCTCACCTCCCTCCCCCTCACCTCCCTCACCTTCCCCTCACCTCCCTCACCTCCCCCTCACCTCACCTCCTCCTCACCTCCCTCCCTACCATCACCTCACCTCCCTCCCCCACCTCCCTCCCTCCCTCACCTCCCTCACCTCCCCCTCCTCCCCTCCCTCACCTCCCCCTCACCTCACCTCCCCTCCTTCCCCTCCCCTCCCCTCCCTCTCTCCCCTCACCTCCCTCACCTCCCTCCCCTCACCTCACCTCCCTCTCACCTACCCTCACCTCCCCTCCCCCTCACCCCCCTCCCTCCCCTCCCTCACCTCCCTCTCACCTCCCTCCCTCCCTCACCTCCCTCACCTCCCCTCACCTCCCTCCCTTACCTCCCACTCACCTCCCTCTCACCTCCCTCACCTCCCCTCCCCCTCCCCCTCACCTCCCTCACCTCCCCCTCACCTCCCTCACCTTCCCTCCCCTCCCTCACCTCCCTCTCCCCTCCCTCCCTCCCTCACCTCCCTCTCCCCTCCCTCACCTCCCTCACCTCCCTCACCTCCCCTCCCCCTCACCTCCCTCCCTCCCCTCCCTCCCCCTCATCTCACCTCCCCTCACCTCACCCCCCCCTCCCCTCCTTCCCCTCCCCTCCCCTCCCTCTCTCCCCTCACCTCCCCTCACCTCACCTCCCTCCCCTCACCTCACCTCACCCTCTCCCCTCTCCCCTCTCACCCTCACCTCACCCTCCCCCCCACACCCCTCGCAGGTGAGCCGCCATAGCGCCGAGCTGCTGGCCAAGCTGAACGGGCAGCGCAAGGCCGGCAGCCGCCTCTGCGACGTCCTCGTCAAGGTGGGCGAGCAGTCGTTCCCGGCCCACAAGGCCGTGCTGGCCGCCTGCTCCGACTACTTCGAGTCGCTGTTCGCCTCGGACGCCGACAACTCGCTGCGCGAGCTCGAGATGCACACAATGAGCGCCAAGGTCTTCCGCGACATCCTCGACTTTGCGTACACGGCCAAGATCGTGGTGCGCCTCGAAAGCTTCCCCGAGCTCATGACCGCCGCCAAGTTCCTGCTCATGCGCTCCGTGCTCGAGATCTGCCAGGAGGTGATCAAGCAGTCGCACTCGCAGGTGAGCGGGGGGAGGTGAGGGGGGAGAGGGGTGGTGAGGGTGAGGGAGAGGGGGGTGAGGGAGAGGGTGGTGCGGGAGAGGGTGAGGGAGAGGGTGGTGAGGGAGAGGGTAAGGGAGAGGGTGGTGAGGGAGAGGGTGGTGAGGGAGAGGGTAAGGGAGAGGGTAAGGGAGAGGGTAAGGGAGAGGGTGGTAAGGGAGAGGGTGGTGAGGGAGAGGGTAAGCTCATGACCGCCGCCAAGTTCCTGCTCATGCGCTCCGTGCTCGAGATCTGCCAGGAGGTGATCAAGCAGTCGCACTCGCAGGTGAGCGGGGGGAGGTGAGGGGGGAGAGGGGTGGTGAGGGTGAGGGAGAGGGTGGTGAGGGAGAGGGTGAGGGAGAGGGAGAGGGTGGTGAGGGAGAGGGTGGTGAGGGAGAGGGTGAGGGAGAGGGTGGTGAGGGAGAGGGTGAGGGAGAGGGTAAGGGAGAGGGTAAGGGAGAGGGTGGTAAGGGAGAGGGTGGTGAGGGTGAGGGAGCGTGGTGAGGGTGAGGGAGGGTGGTGAGGGAGAGGGTAAGCTCATGACCGCCGCCAAGTTCCTGCTCATGCGCTCCGTGCTCGAGATCTGCCAGGAGGTGATCAAGCAGTCGCACTCGCAGGTGAGGTGGGGGGGAGAGGGGTGGTGAGGGAGAGGGGTGGTGAGGGAGGGTGGTGAGGGAGGGTGGTGAGGGAGAGGGTGAGGGAGAGGGTGGTGAGGGAGAGGGTGGTGAGGGAGAGGGTGGTGAGGGAGAGGGTGGTGAGGGAGAGGGTGGTGAGGGTGAGGGAGGGTGGTGAGGGAGAGGGTGGTGAGGGAGAGGGTGAGGGAGAGGGTAAGGGAGAGGGTGGTAAGGGAGAGGGTAAGCTCATGACCGCCGCCAAGTTTCCTGCTCATGCGCTCCGTGCTCGAGATCTGCCAGGAGGTGATCAAGCAGTCGCACTCGCAGGTGAGCGGGGGGGGGAGAGGGGTGAGGGGGGGGTGAGGGAGGGTGGTGAGGGAGAGGGTGGTGAGGGAGAGGGTGGTGAGGGTGGTGAGGGAGAGGGTGGTGAGGGAGAGGGTGGTGAGGGAGAGGGTGGTGAGGGAGAGGGTGGTGAGGGAGAGGGTAAGGGAGAGGGTAAGGGAGAGGGTGAGGGCGAGGGTGGTAAGGGAGAGGGTGGTGAGGGAGAGGGTAAGGGAGAGGGTAAGGGAGAGGGTAAGGGAGAGGGTGGTGAGGGAGAGGGTAAGGGAGAGGGTAAGGGAGAGGGTAAGGGAGAGGGTGGTAAGGGAGAGGGTGGTGAGGGAGAGGGTAAGGGAGAGGGTGGTAAGGGAGAGGGTGGTGAGGGAGAGGGTGGTGAGGGAGAGGGTAAGGGAGAGGGTGGTAAGGGAGAGGGTGGTGAGGGAGAGGGTGAGGGAGAGGGTAAGGGAGAGGGTGGTGAGGGAGAGGGTAAGGGAGAGGGTGGTAAGGGAGAGGGTGGTGAGGGAGAGGGTAAGGGAGAGGGTAAGGGAGAGGGTGGTAAGGGAGAGGGTAAGCTCATGACCGCCGCCAAGTTCCTGCTCATGCGCTCCGTGCTCGAGATCTGCCAGGAGGTGATCAAGCAGTCGCACTCGCAGGTGAGCGGGGGGGGAGAGGGGTGGTGAGGGAGAGGGGTGAGGGAGGGGGTGGTGAGGGAGAGGGTGAGGGAGAGGGTGAGGGAGAGGGTGAGGGAGAGGGTGAGGGAGAGGGTGGTGAGGGAGAGGGTGGGAGAGGGTGGTGAGGGAGAGGGTGGTGAGGGAGAGGGTGGTGAGGGAGAGGGTGGTGAGGGAGAGGGTGGTGAGGGAGAGGGTGGTGAGGGAGAGGGTGAGGGAGAGGGTGAGGGAGAGGGTGGTGAGGGAGAGGGTGGTGAGGGAGAGGGTGGTGAGGGAGAGGGTGGTGAGGGAGAGGGTGGTGAGGGAGAGGGTGGTGAGGGAGAGGGTGAGGGAGAGGGTGGTGAGGGAGAGGGTGGTGAGGGAGAGGGTGAGGGAGAGGGTGGTGAGGGAGAGGGTGGTGAGGGAGAGGGTGGTGAGGGAGAGGGTGGTGAGGGAGAGGGTGGTGAGGGAGAGGGTGAGGGAGAGGGTGGTGAGGGAGAGGGTGGTGAGGGAGAGGGTGAGGGAGAGGGTGGTGAGGGAGAGGGTAAGCTCATGACCGCCGCCAAGTTCCTGCTCATGCGCTCCGTGCTCGAGATCTGCCAGGAGGTGATCAAGCAGTCGCACTCGCAGGTGAGCGGGGGGAGGTGAGGGGGGAGAGGGTGGTGAGGGAGGGTGGTGAGGGAGAGGGTGAAGGAGAGGGTGAGGGAGAGGGTGGTGAGGGAGAGGGTGGGAGAGGGTGGTGAGGGAGAGGGTGGTGAGGGAGAGGGTGAGGGAGAGGGTAAGGGAGGGGGTGGTGAGGGAGAGGGTGGTGAGGGAGAGGGTGGTGAGGGAGAGGGTGGTGAGGGAGAGGGAGAGGGTGGTGAGGGAGAGGGTGAGGGAGAGGGTAAGGGAGGGGGTGGTGAGGGAGAGGGTGGTGAGGGAGAGGGTGGTGAGGGTGAGGGTGAGGGAGAGGGTGGTGAGGGAGAGGGTAAGCTCATGACCGCCGCCAAGTTCCTGCTCATGCGCTCCGTGCTCGAGATCTGCCAGGAGGTGATCAAGCAGTCGCACTCGCAGGTGAGCGGGGGGGGAGAGGGGTGAGAGGGGTGGTGAGGGTGAGGGAGAGGGTGGTGAGGGAGAGGGTGAGGGAGAGGGAGAGGGTGGTGAGGGAGAGGGTGAGGGAGAGGGTGGTGAGGGAGAGGGTGAGGGAGAGGGTGGTGAGGGAGAGGGTGAGGGAGAGGGTGGTGAGGGAGAGGGTAAGGGAGAGGGTGGTAAGGGAGAGGGTGGTGAGGGAGAGAGGGTGGTGAGGGAGAGGGTGAGGGAGAGGGTAAGGGAGAGGGTGGTAAGGGAGAGGGTGGTGAGGGTGAGGGAGCGTGGTGAGGGTGAGGGAGGGTGGTAAGGGAGAGGGTGGTGAGGGAGAGGGTAAGCTCATGACCGCCGCCAAGTTCCTGCTCATGCGCTCCGTGCTCGAGATCTGCCAGGAGGTGATCAAGCAGTCGCACTCGCAGGTGAGGTGGGGGGGGGGTGAGGGGGGAGAGGGTGGTGAGGGAGAGGGTGAGGGAGGATGGTGAGGGAGAGGGTGGTGAGGGAGAGGGTGGTGAGGGAGAGGGTAAGGGAGAGGGTGGTAAGGGAGAGGGTGAGGGAGAGGGTGGTGAGGGAGAGGGTGGTGAGGGAGAGGGTGGTGAGGGAGAGGGGGTGGTGAGGGAGAGAGGGTGGTGAGGGAGAGGGTGAGGGAGAGGGTGAGGGAGAGGGAGAGGGTGAGGGAGAGGGTGGTGAGGGAGAGAGGGTGGTGAGGGAGAGGGTGAGGGAGAGGGTGAGGGAGAGGGAGAGGGTGGTGAGGGAGAGGGTGGTGAGGGAGAGGGTGGTGAGGGAGAGGGGTGGTGAGGGAGAGGGTGGTGAGGGTGGTGAGGGAGAGGGTGGTGAGGGTGAGGGAGAGGGTGGTGAGGGAGAGGGTGGTGAGGGTGAGGGAGAGGGTGGTGAGGGTGAGGGTGGTGAGGGAGAGGGTGAGGGAGAGGGTAAGGGAGAGGGTGGTAAGGGAGAGGGTGGTGAGGGTGAGGGAGCGTGGTGAGGGTGAGGGAGGGTGGTGAGGGAGAGGGTAAGCTCATGACCGCCGCCAAGTTCCTGCTCATGCGCTCCGTGCTCGAGATCTGCCAGGAGGTGATCAAGCAGTCGCACTCGCAGGTGAGGTGGGGGGGGGGTGAGGGGGGAGAGGGTGGTGAGGGAGAGGGTGAGGGAGGATGGTGAGGGAGAGGGTGGTGAGGGAGAGGGTGGTGAGGGAGAGGGTAAGGGAGAGGGTGGTAAGGGAGAGGGTGAGGGAGAGGGTGGTGAGGGAGAGGGTGGTGAGGGAGAGGGTGGTGAGGGAGAGGGGGTGGTGAGGGAGAGAGGGTGGTGAGGGAGAGGGTGAGGGAGAGGGTGAGGGAGAGGGAGAGGGTGAGGGAGAGGGTGGTGAGGGAGAGAGGGTGGTGAGGGAGAGGGTGAGGGAGAGGGTGAGGGAGAGGGAGAGGGTGGTGAGGGAGAGGGTGGTGAGGGAGAGGGTGGTGAGGGAGAGGGGTGGTGAGGGAGAGGGTGGTGAGGGTGGTGAGGGAGAGGGTGGTGAGGGTGAGGGAGAGGGTGGTGAGGGAGAGGGTGGTGAGGGTGAGGGAGAGGGTGGTGAGGGTGAGGGTGGTGAGGGAGAGGGGATGCGCCATGGAGGTGATGAAGCAGTCGCACTCGTGGGGGTGAGAGGTGGTGGAGTGGCGAGAGGGAGAGGGGAGGAGCCACGACCGGCTAAGATGGTCGTCGGTACCGGTGTTTGGCCGTGAGCGGGAATTGAACTCGGGTGGCCGGGTTCGCAGCGCAGTGTCACGCTATGACGCTACTACGCTATGACGCTACTACGCTATGACGCTACTACGCTATGACGCTACTACGCTATGACGCTACTACGCTACTACGCTACTACGCTACTACGCTATGACGCTACTACGCTATGACGCTACTACGCTACGACGCTACCGCTCGCCACCACCCTCGCGACCGCCGCCATTCTCGCCACCACGACCCTCGCCACCACCTCTCCACCAACGCCCTCATCGTCACCACCACCACCACTCTCGTCACCACCACCATCCTCGTCAGCACCACCCTCACGACCCCCTCACCACCACCCTCATCACCACCACCACCACCCTCACGACCACCCTCGTCACCACCACCACCACCCTCGTCACCACCACCCTCACGACCACCCTCATCACCACCAACCTCACCACCACCACCCTCGCCACCCTCCTCACCATCCTCACCACCACCACCACCATCCTCGTCACCACCACCCTCACCACAACCCTCACGACCAACCTCACCACCACCCTCGCCACCACCACCCTCACCACCACCGTCACCACCATCCTCGCCACCACCACCACCACCACCACCCTCACCACAACCCTCACGACCAACCTCACCACCACCCTCGCCACCACCACCCTCACCACCACCACCACCACCACCCTCACCACCACCACCACCACCACCCTCACCACCACCACCCTCCTCACCACCACCACCACGTCGCCCCCAGGTCCCTCTCCCCCTGGCGCTGGCGCGCTCCGGCCGTGACTCGGCCACCCCGACGGCCCCCTACCGCACCGTCGACTTCAGCTACGACCTCGACATGGAGCTCGGGGGCAGCGGCGGCTCGGGCGGCGGCGGCGGCTCCGGCGGCGGCTCCGGCGGCGGCGGCGGTGGTGGCGGCAGCGCCGGCGGCAGCAACGCCGGCAACGCCGGCGGCGGCGGCGACTCGTCGTCCGGCGGTCCCGAGCTGCTGCCGATGCTCGACTCGAGCGGCGACTCGGCGGGCGGCGGCGGCGGCGGCGGCAAACGCCACGGCCACCAGCAGCAGCACCACCACGGCCACCAGCAGCAGCAGCAGCAGCACCACCACCACGGCGGGCAGCAGCAGCAGCAGCAGCAGGACGGCGGCGGCCCGGTGAAGGTGGACGGCGTCGACCGCAAGGAGAAGGGCCGGGGACCCTTCGTCTGCGCCTACTGCGGCAAGGAGTTCCGCGACTCGTACCACATGCGCCGGCACGAGACGCGGCACACGGGCATCAAGATGACCAGCAACCCGCGGCAGAAGAAGCCGCAGGGCGGCGGAGGCGGCGGCGGAGGCGGCGGAGGCGGTGGAGGCGGCGGCGGAGGCGGTGGAGGCGGTGGAGGCGGCGGAGGCGGCGGAGGCGGCGGAGGCGGAGGGATGATGCAGCAGATGGGCGGAGTTCCGTCCACCTCGTCCGGCAATCAAGACGGCGGCGGCGGCGGCGGGGTGAAGACGCCGGTGAAGCGGAACCACCCGTGCGACGTGTGCGGCAAGGCCTTCCGCGACATCTACCACCTCAACCGGCACAAGCTGTCCCACTCGGACGAGAAGCCCTTCGAGTGCCACGTCTGTCACCAGCGCTTCAAGCGCAAGGACCGCATGAGCTACCACGTGCGGGCGCACGAGGGAGCCGTCGGCAAGTCGTACGTGTGCGACACCTGCGGGAAGGGCTTCTCCAGGTGCGTGGCGGGGCGGGGCGGGGCGGGGCGGGTTGGTGAGCGAGTGATGGGGTCGTGGGGGTGCTGGGTAGTGTGAGTGTGTGCGTGTGTGTGAGTTGGGGTGTGCGTGTGTGAATTAGGGTGTGAGTGTGTGTGAGTTAGGGTGTGAGTGTGTGTGAGTTGGGGTGTGAGTGTGGGTGAGTGAGCGAGTTGGTGAGCGAGTGATGGGGCGTGGGGGTGCTGGGTAGTGTGAGTGTGTGTGCGTGTGTGAGTTGGGGTGTGAGTGTGTGAATTAGGGTGTGAGTGTGTGTGAGTTGGGTGTGAGTGTGGGTGAGTGAGCGAGTTGGTGAGCGAGTGATGGGGCGTGGGGGTGCTGGGTAGTGTGAGTGTGTGCGTGTGTGAGTTGGGGTGTGAGTGTGGGTGAGTGAGCGAGTGATGGGGTCGTGGGGGTGCTGGGTAGTGTGAGTTGGGGTGTGAGTGTGAGTTGGGGTGTGAGTGTGTGTGAGTTAGGGTGTGAGTGTGGGTGAGTTAGGGTGTGAGTGTGTGTGAGTTGGGGTGTGAGTGTGGGTGAGTGAGCGAGTTGGTGAGCGAGTGATGGGGCGTGGGGGTGCTGGGTAGTGTGAGTGTGTGCGTGTGTGAGTTGGGGTGTGAGTGTGGGTGAGTGAGCGAGTGATGGGGCGTGGGGGTGCTGGGTAGTGTGAGTGTGTGCGTGTGTGAGTTGGGGTGTGAGTGTGGGTGAGTGAGCGAGTGATGGGGCGTGGGGGTGCTGGGTAGTGTGAGTGAGTGTGTGTGTGAGTTGGGGTGTGAGTGTGGGTGAGTGAGCGAGTTGGTGAGCGAGTGATGGGGCATGGGGGTGCTGGGTAGTGTGAGTGTGTGCGTGTGTGAGTTGGGGTGTGAGTGTGGGTGAGTGAGCGAGTGATGGGGCGTGGGGGTGCTGGGTAGTGTGAGTGAGTGCGTGTGTGAGTTGGGGTGTGAGTGTGGGTGAGTGAGCGAGTTGGTGAGCGAGTGATGGGGCGTGGGGGTGCTGGGTAGTGTGAGTGTGTGTGTGTGAGTTAGGGTGTGAGCGAGTTGTTGAACGAGTGATGGGGTGTGGGGGTGCTCGGTAGTGTGAGTTTGAGAGTTAGGGTGTGAGTTGGGGTGTTAGCGAGTTGGTGAATGAGTGATGGGTGCGGGGTAGTGAGAGTGTCTGTGCGTGAGTGAGGGCGTGAGTGTGTGAATTAGGGTGTGGGTGGGTGGGTGAGCGAGTTGGTGAACGAGTGATGGGGTGTGTGGGTGCTGGATAGTGAGAGTGTGGGTGTGTGTGAGTTAGGGTGTGAGTGTGGATGGGTTGGTGTGGGTGGGTGAGCGAGTGATGGGGTGTGGGTGTGCTGGGTAGTGAGAGTGGGTGTGAGTGTGTGCGAGTGTGTGGGTGGGTTGATGTGGGTGAGTGAGTTGGTGAACGAGTGATGGGGTGGCAGGGGGGGTGGACACGGGTTCTGGGTGGGGGTGTGTCAGGTGAGTGAGTGTCAGGTGAGTAAGTGTGTGTGAGATGAGTGGGAGTGTGAGGTGAGTGTGTGTGTGAGTGTGGGTGTGGGTGCTCGCTAACAGCATTTGCCCCAGCGGTCTGTTCAGGCCATACAGGGGATCTTTGTGAGTGAGTGATGGGGGGAAGGATTTGGTGAGCGAGTCGGGGAGCGTGCGAATGAGTTGAGTGGGAGTGTGGGTGGAGTTGATCTGCCCGCTGACCCCATCGGCTTGCCAATCTGTGAGGTGTCTGCCATTCTTCCAACTCTGGTGGCGGTTGTCCATATTAGGGGGGGGACCCCATTTCAAACCCACGGTGGCCTGGTCTGAAGCTAGCTGATGAAACGAGAATTTCATCATCGCTTGCACCCGGGGGTTGGCATCGTCCCCCTCCTAATGTCGAGGGGAAATAAATGGACGAGGTTCGGGACTGTGGCTCATGCAGCTGCTTATGGTCCAGACCTCAAGGGAGGTGGTTCAGGCTGGCTGAGAGAAAGCTACAGGCCCACTCCCACTGCCGACAGCATCCTACGTCGTGGAATGTGGGATGCTTGATCGCAGCCTTCGGCTCGGAGGTTCGGAGAGCCGTGCGGCGCTGCAGGGATGATGGGTGGTGGTCGCGGGGTCGCTGAGGAGATGGGAGTCTGCCTCAGTAGCCCGCGATTTCAAATCGCTCTTTTGATTCCATTAAAAAAAAATTACTTGCGACGTCCACACCCAATCGCCGTCCTGAAGGGAAAGAAAGAGTGGTCGTCTGATCTCTTACCCCCAAGAAACATTTTGCGGATTTGCCGAGCATTTCCGTGAGGTCTTTTGGGGGGGGAGCGGAAAGCCCTTGGCCCAGGCGATGGAGGTTGGCGCGCCTCTGTGCGCGGACTTGGCCCCCTAAATGACATCATCGCAAGCTGTCCGATCCGCAGCATTGGAAGGATGCTCTGGTGGTCCTCACCCACGCCTCTTTTCAGCCGCACGGATTGTAACAGCTACGGGCGCATATCTCCTCAGGAGAGGCTTTCGTAGGACTGCGAGGATCCCATGCTCCTTGGTTCAATTGGGTAAAGTCACGTAGTAGGTAAAAAAAAAACCAAGATGACAAAATTTCGATTTGAAGCTTTCGTGACTGCAATGATTCATCTTCTTTGGTTCAATTCGGTAAAGTCACCACCACCACCACGTAGGATGAGAATAAAATAATGAATTGATAAAATAAAGTAACACGGTGATGTTCTCACGGCGTTTCGGCCGCGGCACAAGCGGCCTTCATCGGGTGAAGGGGACCGTGCTGTCCAGGAGGAGAGCGTTTTTTGGGGGGTGAAGACGGTCGCACCCCCCCCTTAAGCTGTGTTGTCGCGGAAATCTTTCGAGGAAGGTCGCCGTCTCGCTGAGCTTTAAAGGACACGACCTGTGCTTGGCCGTCTTCACTCCCAACGCTGTCCTCTGGACAGCCCGGTCCGGACACCCTGAGGGGGGGGGGGGGGCATCTTCATAGCGGCGAGGATTATTTAACACCGCCCCCTTTTCCATAGCAGTAGCGTGCCCCCCTGGGAACGCCCTCCCGCGAGAGTCTCACAACTCCCCCGAGTACAGCAGAGGGTCCCCGGCCAAGTATTAATCCCAGTTGGGGGGGGGGGGGGGTGCTGCTGCGTTGCTACTGGGGCCGTGTGTTGCCATCCCAATGGAGCGATTGCCAAAGTGATATTTGCCAGCATCGTCGATGATCTGCGGCCATCAGCAGTTCCACTGTGTGCGGAGGTTTGGCTACTGAGCGTGGGTGTTGATGCCCGGGAGAGCTACGGTGGGCTTATTAATGGAGCGGGAGCGAGCGAGTGAATGGTGCAGTGGGGGTGAGTGTCTCCTGTTAACCTGTGTACTCGCCCAGCCGATCACCTTCCTACTCACCCACTCGCCTTCCTACTCGCTCACCCACTCACCTTCCTACTCGCCCACTCACCTGTATGTCTGCCTTCTTACTCACCTACCCACCCACACCACTCGCCTATCCTCACCAGTTGACTGTCATATATACCATCCACCAATCCAGTACACCTACCCACCCACTCACCTTCCTACTCACTCGCCTACCCACCGACCACTCACCTATCCCCGCCTATTGACCTTATATATACCAACTACCAATCCAGTAAACCTACCCACTCACCAACTCACCCACCTACCCATTCACCAACTCACCCACTTACCTTCCATACCCCACCCACTCATCTATCCACCTACCCGCTTATCCACCTACCCACTCACCAACTCACCCACCTACCTTTCATACCCCACCCACTCATCTATCCACCTACCCGCTTATTCACCCACCCGCTCACCAACTCACCCACCTACCTTCCATACCCCACCCACTCATCTATCCACCTAACCACTTATCCACTCACCCGCTCACTAACTCACCCACCTACCTTCCATTCCCCACCCACTCATCTATCCACCTACCCGCTTATCCACCCACCCACTCACTAACTCACCCACCTACCTTCCATTCCCCACCCACTCATCTATCCACCTACCTGCTTATCCACTCACCCGCTCACTAACTCACCCACCTACCCTCCATACCCACCCACTCATCTACCCACCCACGTGTCCACCAAACTGTGTATGAGGGGAGATTACTCAAAAGGGCCACACAGATGGATTTTCGAATCCGCTTGCTGTACTGCCAACCCTTAACCAAAACACCTAGGCAGCCCCAGTGGGTTTGGGAATCTGAGATCGTTACGTGATCCACCATCCCTTGGATCATAGGTTCAGTGTGACAAGAGTTCAGTGTTAATCATTGTTGCTTGCAGAGCCAGACTGAGGCTCCTACAGGGTTTAATTTTGATTAACCGAGGCTCTCAAAGCCCGACTAAGGCTCCCATAGTGGTTCAGTGTTAATCACTGTGGCTCACAGCCAGACTAAGGCTGCTACAGGGGTTCAGTGTTAATCACTGTGGCTCTCACAGCCAGACTAAGGCTTCTACAGGGGTTTAATGTTGATAACTGAGGCTCTCACAGCCAGACTAAGGCTCCTACAGGGTTCAGTGTTAATCACTGTGGCTCACAGCCAGACTAAGGCTCCTACAGGGGTTCAGTTTTAATCACTGTGGCTCACAGCCAGGCTAAGGCTACTACAGGGTTCAGTGTTAATCACTGTGGCTCACAGCCAGACTAAGGCTACTACAGGGTTCAGTGTTAATCACTGTGGCTCACAGCCAGACTAAGGCTCCTACAGGGGTTTAATGTTGATTAACCGAAGCTCTCAAAGCCAGACTAAGGCTCCCATAGTGGTTCAGTGTTAATCACTGTGGCTCACAGCCAGACTAAGGCTTCTGCAGGGGTTCAGTGTTAATCACTGTGGCTCACAGCCAGACTAAGGCTCCTACAGGGGTTTAATGTTGATAACTGAGGCTCTCACAGCCAGACTAAGGCTCCTACAGGGGTTTAATGTTGATAACTGAGGCTCTCACAGCCAGACTAAGGCTCCTACAGGGGTTCAATGTTGATTAACCGAGGCT